GGGCGAAGGCAGCTTCAGGGCAGATGTTGCAGTCAGTGCGGCGAGAGGTGTTGACAGGAACGGGAGTGCCGTCTTGGCGGAGAAGAGTTCCGGGAAGAAAGACTTGCGCGCGGATGCAGTTGTTGAGAACTTCCTGTGAGGGGTGACCAAGGCGTTTGTGCCAGAGGTCAGGTTGGGCGCGCAGAGCAGGTGAGCGTGTGTAAAAGGCGATGAGTTCAGTGATATCTTGAGGAGGTGGCTGTGGGATAGGCTGTGGTGAAATTGAAAGGCCAAGTGCGGATCAAGTCGGGTGTTGCGCGGCTGGAAGATAGTGAGTGCTGCCGCGCATGCCAGATGGGTGAGGAGTCTGCCATTCCGCTTCCTCGACGATGTCCATGCCAGCAGTCTGAACGACTGGTCTAGCGTCCTCAGCGTGTTCTGGGATTGTGTCAGTCTGTGCTGCTGCGGCTGTGAGGCGCCGTGCTGCTGCAGTGGAGGATTCTCCTTTGTCAGCGGGTGTGTTTCCCGTGTTGGGAGGAGGGCTGTTTGGTCTGTCTGAGGTGGAGGCTGTTGGGGTGTGGCAGTTGCGGCAGAGTTCGTCAGGTCCGGGTGCGTGCAGATTGATTTCTCGTGGGTGAGCGTGATGCTTGATCCAAGGGCGACCGTCTGGGTGTGTGAGTTTGCGATTCCACACGATGTCTTGGGGCTGTAGGTCGATGAGATCTCCTGAGTCAGCGCTGCAGTCTGGTATGTCGAGGTCGAGAATGTAGACGCTGTCTTCGGAATGGGCTCTGCCGATGTAGCGTGGTTCACTGTTTAAGTTGCTGTAGTCTTTCCAGTGCATGAGTATGTCGCGTGTCCCAAGATCAGTCGTCATGAGCACTCCACTTTGCACGAGTTGGTCGTAGGAGAGGAGATTGTATTGAAGGTCGCGCACGATGAGAACGTCGTTGAGCGTGATGTGAATGTCGCTGTCGTGTGCTTTTAGAACGACGATGCCGCATGCTCGTGCATGGAGTTGCTGATTGTTGGCCACCGTGACGACGGTGGGTTGCGGGATGGCGCTTGCGTTGGAGATGTAGCGCTTGGAGCCCACCATGTGCTGCCCGCAGCAGCTGTCGAGGTACCATGTGTTGTAGGAGTTCGCGTGATGTTGAGCCGAGAGGGCCAAGTTTGGTGTATTCCGGAACGGAATGCGCCGATCTCCAGCAGCACGGTAATTGTCCACGGGCCGCGTGTCAATGTGGTGACCGTAGAAATAGCTGGTGATCGATGGCGAGTCAAGAAAATCTTCGTCATGCGGCGGCGACTCAAGCAGGGGTATCGGCAGATCCCAATCTTGTTCGTGCTCGTCGGAGACAAATCTCCATCTTGTGTGAACGGGTTGTTGTAGCCAGTGAAATGAATTTCGTTTCCTGGCGGGGGAGGAGAGACATATCGCAAATGTCGCCAATTGGTGCGGCGGGTGCGACAGGGAATGCGCATCGCAGTGTTGCCCATGACATGGCGGACGGTGTTGTTGTTGTTAAGCGGTGCGCGCTGAATGTCGGATTGTGGCGGCTGGCGCGGGGCAGACCGATGGTCCGAAGACGGTCAGCTTGCCTGGCGCATGTGGTCAGGGCCATAGGCCGAGTTGTTGCGCGGCGCGGAGTCGTGTCGTGGTCCGGATCGGCAGCGTTCGGTGGAGTGACCGAAGGCTTTGCAGTTCTTGCAGTAGTATTGCCGTGGCCGCGTGTCACGATTCCTCCGTTGGTCACGATTAGAATAAAAGGCGATTTGTTCGCGGCGCGCCCCCTTTTCTTGGTTGAAGTCCATGTCACGCTGCTTGTGCAGCAGAGTGGCGCAGAGGTGTGCTTCGAATAGTATCCCCTGTTGGCGAAGAAGCGCCTTGCAGGGATTCCAGTGTGGTCCCAGTCCTCGAAGCACGATGGTGGCGAACATATCCTCGGAAATTGTGTTTCCGAGCTTTAGGAGGTGGTCGCGGACGCTTTGGCAGCGGTTGATGTAGGAGTTTGCTTTTTCACCAGGTGCCATCTTGACTTCCATGAGTTGCTGGAGTAGGCGACTGGATGATACGGAGTCTTTAGGCTGGTAAGTTTTGTTGAGGTAGCTCGAGGCGGCTATGGCGGGGGCTTGGTGAGTTTTGTAGGTGCGAATGCCGAGTTGCTCAGTTGGCGCCATGTTGCGGAGTAGAACGCTATACGCCATGAGTAACTCGTTTTAATACTGAGCCTTTGTGTCGTCGGTGTCGCTGGAAGGGCCAGCGTAGCTTCCATCAAAGTAGCAGAAAATTTGCGTGTTTTGTAGAAGTAGCTCGAGCTCGAAACTCCAGGTGTAAAAATATCGCCCGCTAAACACGGTGCTGGTTCGAATCTTGGAGATAGTCAGAAACTTGTTCTGAGCTGCGAGCACAGCTTCGTCACTTAGACGAGGAGCTGTTGGAGCAAAGGAATTTGACCCGAGATCAAAGGTGGTTGGGCTCGGTTCCTTGGTTGGAGCGGCCGGTTGATCGGGTTGCTGAGCGGTTTCAGGGTTGACATTCTTCAGTTGTTGAATTCCTGATTCCAGCGTAGAGATCCGCTGGATGAGTTGCTCCAGTAGCGCATTGCTGACGGTGGTAGTTCCCGCGGAGTTCGCAGTAGGGTTGGCGGGGGCTTCCGTAGTGTTGGCCGTTTGTCCGCCAGATCCTCCAGCCATGTTTCGGCGGGAGCGCGTACCGGACGCCACCTTGAATTTGAATTTGAATCAAAGGTGGTGGTGCGAAGAATCCTGAGTAGCTCTCATACCATGATACAATCTTAACCGTCTTAAAGGATCGTCTCAGGTTGATCGCACGGAGTGTAGCAGCGGAAGATTGCTTGGTGATGTCGGGTACAGACTCTGTCAGTAGGAGATTTAGATCTCGACAGAAGTGAATAACACAATGCGAAACAAGGGTTTATATAGGAATACAGTGGAATACGAAAGGTCCTAGCTAGCCATGTACTCTGAGGGGGTACATTCCCCTTAGGGCTAATCTAGATGCACGATTGAAACCGTGCGGTTCGGTAACCGTACGCGGTCCGGTAACCGTTTGAAGATTTCCCGCGCTTTGCACTTCAATTTTTTCCTGCTTGTAACTGTCTTCGATAACTGTCTTGTCGCTCGGTCTTCGTCCTCGCTGCAGTCATCTTCGCGTTAAGGATTCGTTACTCAGGAATGTTTATTCAACAATTCCATATCGTAGCACTAGTGCCGTCGGCTTCAAGGCGGAGCGGGGTGATGGGGTTGGCGAGAGTGGCCGAGGCGAAGGCCATGTCGAAGAACCCTTTAGATCTCGCGTGAAGCGCTGCTCTTGAGTCACCGATAGAAACTTGAGGTTTAGGGTTTCCGAAGGAGAAAGTCCGAGGGACGCGGAGAGCAAAAAACTTCAATGTCGGCCGCTTCGAATGTCTCGTGGAAGGAAATTTGAGGCCGATGAAAGTAGGTCAAATCGGCCGAGTTCGGTAACTAACCCTATTCCCACACACCCCCCCACACACCACCTTCAGCTTCGCGGCTACGCTGCTGCTCAGCTTCGCTGCTACACGGCTGCTCAGCTGCGCGGCTGCACCTGTTCAGCTGCGGAGTGCCGTTGCGGGGCGACGGGCGGCAGCCCGACGAGACGATGCAGGGCGACGGGCAGCGGCCCGACGAGAAGCTGCAGGGCGACGGGCGGCGGCCCGACGAGAAGCTGCAGGGCGACGGGCGGCGGCCCGACGAGAAGAAATGGAGTGAAGACAATTGACGAAAAAAATGCGATTGGTTAAAGCGTCGACGATGCGCTTACCAGAGAAGTTGCGAAGGTCGTCGAGAAGGAAAGGGGAGTGGCGCGTGATAATTTCCGGCCACATAAGTCGCGAATCACCGGCGACGAGATTGATGGCGGCTACGCCGAAGAAAGCGGGACAAGAGCCCGTTGAGATAGGAGGATCACGATACGCGTGTGCGGTTGAAACGCTCTGATACCATGTTAGAACTTGAGCTTAGAATCCATACATTAGTAATGAGCTCAAGGCTCTTTAAGTACATTGGAAATGCGCAAGGTAAGGGTGGGGAGAGAATCGGGGGCAATCCTAGGGAATTGGGGGTAATCCCAAGGCAATCTCCAATTGGTGGTTGGAGATTGCTTGGAGATCACATTTGGGTTTGGTTGGGATGTGGGTGTACACCCAACCAACCACAAACTGCAAACTACACTAAACTAGGATATAAAAAGTACAAGTACAAATGTGAGATTGAGGACGAACATTAACACATGCTAGCCCATGGTAGCCCATGCTAGCCCATGGTAGCCCATGGTAGCCCATGCTAGCCCATGCTAGCCCATGCTAGCCCATGCTAGCCCATGGTAGCCCATGGTAGCCCATGCTAGCCCATGCTAGCCCATGATAGCCCATGATAGCCCATGCTAGCCCATGATAGCCCATGCTAGCCCATGCTAGCCCATGATAGCCCATGATAGCCCATGATAGCCCATGATAGCCCATGATAGCCCATGATAGCCCATGATAGCCCATGATAGCCCATGCTAGCCCATGCTAGCCCATGCTAGCCCATGATAGCCCATGATAGCCCATGATAGCCCATGGTAGCCCATGATAGCCCATGATAGCACATGATAGCCCATGCTAGCCCATGATAGCCCATGATAGCCCATGTTAGCCCATGTTAGCCCATGATAGCCCATGATAGCCCATGTTAGCCCATGTTAGCCCATGATAGCCCATGTTAGCCCATGTTTGCCCAGGCTAGAAGATCATGGAAGCAAGCAGAGATACAGTCCACGCACCGCTAATCCAGCCTATATCTTTCCCTTCCGAGTTTCGCCTGCTGCAACCTACGATGCACCACCCATCCTCCCAAGCACCCAATACACACAGTTTTTTGTGGAAGCTCCTACGTGCCACTCGTAATCGACTATAGACTCGACTGTCAATAGTCTCTCCTCCCATGCATTCATTCATGATTCATACACGTTGCCTGGTAGCCCACCCGCTCACAGGGTTTCAAGAGCAGTGAGGCGCGAGAGGGTGCTGAGGATGGATCCAGTCAGGAGGTTGTCGGCCAAAATGCTGCCGCGCCATCGCATGGCGTGGGGAATGTGGGATGGGAATGTGGGATTGGGAATGTGGTATGGGAAATGTGGCATGGGGAATGTGTCATGGGGCACACCCCATGCACGCACGCACATCCCATGCACGCATGCATACCCCATGCACGCACGCATGCCCCATGCACGCACGCACACCCCATGCACGCACGCACACCCCATGCACGCACGCATACCCCATGCACGCACGCATACCCCATGCACGCATGATCAACTCCCTCACAATGTCGTGATGTTTCTCAAGTTGCCTATGCTTTGGGGAATGCCGCCTGTGAACCTGTTGCTGTTGAGAACCCTGCACCACATGCAAACCACCGATTTCGGACTCCAAGAGTGTTCGGCGAGATGAGAAAGGTTGCATGCGTGCCTCGGGGTGAAACGAGGCAAGCTTGGGATTTTATTTTAGCAAACTCGCTAGCTATGAATCTTATTGGGTTTCAGGTTTTGCTAGAAATCCCTTCGTGTTTAATGCGAGAAATCTCCTTCGGGGAGAAACATTTAAAAGTTGCTGAAGTTTGCATCTACGACTTGCAGTAGCGCTGAGCTGAGCATATCATCGGAACGGAAGGAAGGGGAATCACGGGATCATGGAGAACATGACAAGCACTAGCCGTGGGATATTGCCGACTTAGCATATGCTCACAGGACAGTGAGTTTTGTGCACTCAAATGCTCACAAGTCATTCAACTGGCCGAGGCTTCCAACGAACTCAGGGATGGCGCCACTGAATTGGTTCTGCTGCACACAGCTGTGTCAGTGCGTGCGTGTGTGGGGTGTGTGGGGTGTGGGGGGGAGAGGGGAGGGGGGGGGTGTGGAAGGGGGGGAGGGTGTACCGGGTGCATGGTGCATAGATGCGTAAGTAGATCCCCCCCTTCCCCACCGGCAGCAGAACCACCCGCAGCACTAGTGCAGGTGGAGCAGAAAGTGGGGCACTGTTGACAGAAGGCAGTGCCGGAAGGTTGAGGGACCACGCAAGGGGAGGCGTAGAGTGGATGGAAGGAGGGGGGGTTGGAAAGAGGGGGTTGACTTTTGAGGCGCCTCAATAGGCAATAGGAGGGCATACGAGTGACGTGTGGTACATATAGCTGCTTGTTGGGTGTGCGGGAAGGGTGGTGGTAAGAAGTAGGGGGTTGTGGAAGTGTGGTGAGCTTAGGAGAATGAAATCATGAGATGAGGTGAGTGGGAGAGGTGCCTGAATGTGCGCAAGTGAGCAATGGTTGGTTTGGCAGAGGTTGCGTGCAATGAGAAGATGTCGGCTCTTCCTATCATTGTGAAGCAGAATTCACCAAGTGTTGGATGAGAAGATGCAGGTGCGGTGAGGGGGAGGGGAGAGGGAGAGAGCAGCAGCAGAGCGCATGAATTCTTATCTACATTATGCAATGCAACGCAAGAAAGCAAGAGAGCAAGAGAGCAAGAGAGAACAAGAGGGCAAGGGAGCAAGAGAGCAAGGGGGCAAGAGGGCACTGACAAGGAGGTGAGTTGCAGAAGGTTGCCGAGACCAGCAGGCAGGGTACCGGAGAAATTGTTGTAACTCAAGTCGCTGCATGGCAGGCGAGTCGATGGCAATGACGACTAAGGTGGTGGTGGTGGTGATGGTGATGGTGGTGGTGGTGGTGGTGATGGTGATGGTGGTGGTGGTGGTTGTCAGAACTTGAGCTTAGAATCCATACATTAGTAGTGAGCTCAAAGCTCTTTTAGTACATCAGGAATAAGCAAGGAATGGATGGGGAGGGAGTCGGAGGCAATCCTAGGGAATTGGGGGTAATCTCAAGGCAATCTCCAATTGGTGGGTTGGAGATTGCTTGGAGATCACATTTGGGTTTGGTTGGGATGTGGGTGTACAATCAACCAAACACAAAGTGCAAACTACACTAAACTAGGATATAAAAAGTACAAGTACAAATGTGAGATTGAGGGCTAGCATTAACACCCCCCCATAGACGTCAATCGAACTCAAGGTGGAGAAGGTGGGGCACATAGCCCCATGGTGCCTAGAAGGTGAGGAACCTTCCCAAGGGGCTTGGTGAACAGATTAACCAGGTTGCAGTCAGATGCAACGTACTCCACGTTCAACTGTTCACGCTGGACAAGGTCACGGATGAAGAAGTGGCGAAGTTCGATGTGCTTGGTGCGAGTGTGGTACACAGGATCCTAGGAAATGTGGACGGTACTTTGTTGTCACACCAGAGGGTGGGAGTGGACTGAGGGTAGCCAAGTTCCTGGAGTAAGAAGGTGAGCCAGCGGGCCTCCTGAGCCGCCATGGTGCCAGCATAGAGCTCTGCCTCACAGGAGGAGAGCGAGACGGCAGACGACCTGGTGGAGCGCCAGCTGACAATTCCGCTCCCAAGAGTGAAGCAGTAGCCCTGGGAGGAGCGTCGGTCGGTCTGGTCATCAGCCCAGGAGGAGTCTGTGTAACCTTCCAGTCGAGGAGGAGAAAGCCCACCAAGGGTGAGGACATGAGACTTGGTGCCATGCAGATAGCGCAGCACCCGCTTTGCCGCTTTCCAGTGAAGTTCGGTGAAGCGTCCAGGAGCCACATAGCGAGAGAGGACACTGACAGGGTATGCCAGGTCAGGCCGAGTGCACATCATGGCGTACATGAGGGACCCAACAAGCTCCGGGTATGGCTAGGTGCAAGCGTGTGGGGACAGCTGGAGCGGTGAGGAGGTGCTGTAGTGGCAGCGGGGTGGCCATGGGTGTGCACAACTCCATCTCAAAGCGCTTGAGTACATTGTTGATGTAGAACTCCTGGGAGAGTAAGATGGTGCGAGCCTGGCGATCACGAGTGATCTCCATCCCCAGGTAGTGCTTGAGGTCACCGAGGTCTTTCATCAGGAGGGCTTTGCTCAGGGCCGCCTGGACAGAGGTCATCTGTGCCGAGTCCTTCGCAACGAGGATGAAGTCATCGACGTAGACAAGGATGTAGAATGACTCAGAGTGACGGCGAATGAAGAGAGTCGGGTCAGCAGACGATGGGTGAAAGTCCAAGGAGAAAGGGACGTCTTTCACTTTGTTGTGCCATTCACGAGGGGCTTGTTTGAGGCCGTAAACAGGGCGATTCAGCTTCCAGACAGTGTTGGGAGGGAACTCTCCTGGAAAGCCTTCAGGTCGGTCCATAAACACGGTCTCCTTGAGGTGTCCTTGCAGAAATGCTGAAGAGGCGTCCATGGATTTGATCTCAAAGTCGTCTCGTGCGGCTACATCCAAGAGCGTGCGAACTATGGGTGGTTTGGATGTGGGAGAGAAGGTTTTGAAGAAGTCAAAGTACTGCTGCTGAGTGAATCCCTTGGCCACATAGCATGCTTTGAACACTGGTGCCTCGTCCGGAAGCTGCTTCACTCGAAACAGCCACTTGCCCCCAACGATGTTAACTCCTGGAGGTGGAGTTTCATCGTCAAAGGAGTGGTTGCGAGTGAAGGCTTCACACTCAGCTTCCATGGCAGCACGCCACTCGGCAGCATGGGGACCCGAAAGAGCCTCTTGGACGGTGAGAGGGATAGGAATGGTCGGGTTCTCCGAGAAGTTGAGCGAGGGGGATTAAGTGATATTGGGGAAGATGTGCGAGAGCTGAGGAATGACATCGTGGAGATCACACAGCTCCTCATGCCTGTCTTCCAGAAGGGTAGAGGGCACATCCCCCCCAGCAGGAGGAGTCGGAGTGATCACTGAGCATCGAATGGCAAGTGCCAGTGGAGGAGCAGCCCCATGCGACCGAGTGCCATGTGCCACCGAAGAAGAGGGTGGAGCAGGCGTTCCTAGAGGGGACGACTTAGGGGGCTTAGGGGGAGGGATCGGCCGTCGTTGGTACGTGATTAGTTTGCTCGGCTGTGGGAGAGCAGATTCCTGCGTGGAGGAGGGAACGGGGGGAGGAGGTGGGGCGGGAGGGTTCGACCGTCGATGGTATGTGATTGGTGCGCTGGGTGGTGGGGGCACAGTTGGCAGAGTGGCAGAAGGGGGAGATGGAGGAGCAGCTGCCGAGGACATCGGAGAGGTCGGGTCAGAGACCTCAGATGGGGATGGTGCGATGGCAGGAGAAGCGGGAGGTGAGGGGGCTGGAGCAGGCGGAGGTTCAGAAGGCGCATCAAAGTCAGCCCACACAAGAGAGGGTGGTCCGGAGGGGGGATCCCCCCCCGAGGTGGAGTAGAAGGGGCGAGTCTCATCAAAGACGACATCTCGGCTCCGGACGAGTTGTTGAGTGGAGGGGTTGAGGAAAAGGTAGTCAGGGGAGTCAGCGTTATGCCCAAGGTATATGCACGTTTGAGTTTTGGGACCAAGCTTGCCACCTTGCCGCCGTCGAGCCTAGGGGTTGAGGAGTACATAGGCGGTGCACCCCCAGACGCGAAGGGGGCGAGCAGTGGGTGTTTTCCCGAGCCAGAGTGTGGTGGGAGTGGTGTCGGGAAGATGCGGGTGGGGGTAGAGGTTGTAGAGGAGGGCGGCATGATAGAGGGCATACCCCCAGAGTGAGAGTGGTGTGTTGGAGTGGCTGAGGAGGCAGCGAGTGATCTGCGTCAGTGTGTGATTGCGGCTCTCTGCTATGCCGTTCTGCTGCGGGCTGTCAGGAACGGTGAGGTTTTGCAGGATGCCAAGGGAGGAGCAGAAGGCTTTGAGCTTGTCGTTGCAAAATTCACCACCACCATCCAAATGGAGACGCTTGACCTTGGTGCCAAAGGAGGTATGTGCCTGGTTAACCCATGCCATGATTGCCTCCGGGGCCTCAGCCTTAGTGTGGAGGAGGTGCACAGAGACGTAGCGAGTGTGGTCATCAACTATCAGAAGGAAATAGCAATGGCCACCTCGTGCGGCAACCGGGGCAAGGCCCCAGACGTCCATGTGCACTAGGTCCAGTGGGGCTGCTGCTACTGAGGGTGAGGCAGGGTGGGGCTGTTGGCGTAGCTTGCTCTTGGTGCAGTCAAGGCACGTGGGAGCGGGCGAGTCAGGTGGTGGAGGAAGTGAGGCTGGGAGGCCGAGAAGAAGCTTCTTGGAGGCCATGTCAGCAAGCGTGCGGAAGTTTGGGTGCCCGAGCCGATGGTGGTAGAGAATGGTCGGGTTAGAGAAACTGCGACACGAGCATGGTGTGATAGCAACCTGTGCTTGGGTGGTTGACACCTGTGGGATAGGTACACGCAGCGTGTAGAGTCCGCTGCTGTTTGAAGCGGGCTAAGACTTTGTTGGTGAGTGGGTCGATGACGTCACAATAGTCCTCGTACTCTGAGATTATGGTGCAGAGTCCAGCCCTCTGAAGTTCTTGTTGAGCCAATAGATTGTGGCGTAGTGAAGGCACGCACATGCCAGTGACAGTGCCGGATGGGAAGGCGGGGCACGGGACAGTGGACGAACCCTTGGCAAGAGTGGTGAAGCTTGAATCAGCTCCCAAGAGAGGAATGTGTGTAGAGTAGGGTTTGAAGGAGAATGTCTCCTTGAGCACAGTGTGAGTGGCCCCGCTGTCAAGTGTACATCAGCAGGAGCACTATCACTAGCACTAGCCCGAGCGGGGTCCTGTGCCTCAACTACGTTGGCCTTACGAGAATGCATCCAATTCGGCGGCTTCTTGTCGACTCCATGGATGGCATACTATTCGTCGTCTTTCTTCTTGAAGCACGTGGCGAGGGGGTGGTTAGTGCCACCACACACTTGTCCCTTGCGGTTGCCATACTTGACGATGTAGGTGCATGGAGGGAAGCGGTTGCGCTGAAAGGGCGCCGAGGCGAGTGCCGATGCGACACTTGCTTGAGGCACGGGATCACGAAGGGCGTAGGCCTTGGCTTGGGCCGAGGAGTCTTTCTCGGCGGAGAGGAGGGTGGAGGAGATTTTAGCAAATGTGAGGTCTTCCGCCGAGGACGTGAGGAGCATTTTCCTTGTGACTTCGTATGCTGAGGTGAGGCCAACAAGAAGGGCGGCCGCAGGAGCTTGTTCGGGGAAGATGATACCCAGCTCTTTGAGCTCGCCATGGATGGTTTGCACCTTGGCGATGTAGTCGGCCATACCCGCGCAATCTTCAAGGCGGACTTGAAACATACTAGGAATGAGGATGGCCACCCCGACCGCCGTCTTATTCATAAACCTGTCCTGGAGATGCTTCCAAATGGCGTTGGAAGTGGGGTAGTTGTGGAACGTGTTGACAAGTTCGGGGGGAGTGGAGCCGATGAAGACGCTAGTGATAGCCGCATCGGCCTTCTCCCACTTGCGGTACTTGGCAACAGAGTTCTCGTGCTCCTGGGTTGATGCCGCATCGGTTGGATCGGACGGCTCCTTGGGGATGGAGGCCTGTTTTCCCTTGCCATTATTGAGAAGAACGTCTTTGAGGTCAAGTCCACCCACTTCACGACTCAGGAGGAGCTTGTCAACCCCGTAGCTCCATGCCTTGAAGTTGGAGCTAGTGCCGTCGGCTTCAAGGCGGAGCGGGGTGATAGGGTTGGCGAGAGTGGCCGAGGCGAAGGCCATGTCGAAGAACCCTTTAGGTCTCTCGTGAAGTGCTGCTCTTGAGTCACCGATAGGAACTTGAGGTTTCGGGTTTCCGAAGGAGAATTTGAAGAGCTTGGGGTTTAGGGTTTACGAAAGAGAATTGTGAAGTTTTTGGTTTCCGAAGGAGAAAATCCGAGGGACGCGGAGAGCAAAAAACTTCAATGTCGGCCGCCTCGGAATGTCTCGTAGAAGGAATTTTGAGGCCGATGAAAGTAGGTCAAATCGGCCAATTTCGGTAGCTAACCTAACCCTATTCCCACACACCCCCCCACACACCACCCTCAGCTTCGCGGCTACGCTGCTGCTCAGCTTCGCTGCTACACGGCTTCTCAGCTGCGCGGCTGCACCTCTTCAGCTGCGGAGTGCCGTTGCGGGGCGACGGGCGGCAGCCCGACGAGAAGATGCAGGGCGACGGGCGGCGGCCCGACGAGAAGCTGCAGGGCGACGGGCGGCGGCCCGACGAGAAGCTGCAGGGCGACGGGCGGCGGCACGACGAGAAGCTGCAGGGCGACGGGCGACGGCCCGACGAGAAGCTGCAGGGCGACGGGCGGCGGCCCGACGAGAAGAAATGGAGTGAAGACAATTGACCAAAAAGTGCGATTGGTTAAAGCGCCGACGATGCGCTTACCAGAGAAGTTGCGAAAGTCGTTGAGGAGGAAAGGAGAGTGGCGCGGGATAATTTCCGGCCAAAGAAGTCGCGAATCACCGGCAACGAGATTGATGGTGGCTACGCCGAAGAAAGCGGGACAAGAGCCCGTTGAGATAGGAGGCTCACGATACGCGTGTGCGGTTGAAACGTCCTGATACCATGTCAGAACTTGAGCTTAGAATCCATACATTAGTAGTGAGCTCAAAGCTCTTTAAGTACATCAGGAATGAGCAAGGAATGGATGGGGAGGGAGTCGGAGGCAATCCTAGGGAATTGGGGGTAATCCCAAGGCAATCTCCAATTGGTGGGTTGGAGATTGCTTGGAGATCACATTTGGGTTTAGTTGGGATGTGGGTGTACACCCAACCAACCACAAAGTGCAAACTACACTAAACTAGGATACCAAAGTACAAGTAAAAATGTGAGACTGAAGGCTAGCATTAACAGTGGTGATGGTGATGGTGATGGCAATGGCGATGGTGATGGTGACGGTGATGGTGAAGGTGACGGTGATGGCGATGGCGATGGCGATGGCGATGGCGATGGCGATGGTGATGGTGATGGCGATGGTGATGGTGATGGTGATGGCGATGGTGATGGTGATGGTGATGGCGATGACGATGGTGATGGCGATGGTGATGGTGATGGCGATGACGCAATAGCAGCAACGATGACAATGATGGTGTTGAGAATCATGATGATGATGATGACGAGAAAGGTGACAACGATGATGTAGCCTCTTGCCAGCCAGGGGTTGAGGTGAGAGAAATGAAGCATGTGGATGGCGAGGTGTGATGTGATGTGCAAATGGAGGTGGCTTCAGTCTGGAGCGATATGGCAAGCGGGCGGGTGGGTGCAGGCAGTCTGCTCTGCTGCTATGCTACAACAACGCAGCCTAGATTGCTTGCACACACTCCCTCACAGGAAACACCAAGGGAGAAGGAGAGCAACGACGAGCTCTTGAGAACGGCTGTCCGTGCGACCCATGGGTTTTGGGGATTTCAAGGAGTTTGAGGAGTTTGCGAGAATGTTCACAAATGAAAGTGAGCGAGTGGCAAAGGGGAAACGCACATGTACTTGAGAGTGGTCAACCCCGTGACCCATGAGGGCAGGGATCCACTCAAATTGTTGTTTGCAAAGATCCTGCGATGTGATGCGAGACACTCATATGAGATTGCAGGCCTGCAAGCTTGAGATCCAGAATGTAAGCAAGTAAGCAGGCTGCAAGCAAGCATCATACGTGCAGGGGATATGAGGGGTGGAGAACACCAAAGCACAGCACAGCAGCAACACCATGCGTGCACGTATACATGCAGGCCCGCGGTGTGTTGCAAGCAGCTGATGTCGTGTCGAGCCCAAGGCTGGTGCTTTTGAGATTTGAGACGTCTCAAGACCGATGCTAGCCCATGCTAGCCCATGCTAGCCCATGCTAGCCCATGCTAGCCCATGGTAGCCCATGCTAGCCCATGCTAGCCCATGATAGCCCATGCTAGCCCATGCTAGCCCAGGCTAGAAGACCATGGAAGCAAGCAGAGATACAGTCCACGCACCGCTAATCCAGCCTATATCTTTCTCTTCCGAGTTTCGCCTGCTGCAACCTCCGATGCACCACCCATCCTCCCAAGCACCCAATACACACAGTTTTGTGGAAGCTCCTACGTGCCACTCGTAATCGACTATAGACTCGACTGTCAATAGTCTCTCCTCCCATGAATTCATTCATGATTCATACACGTTGCCTGGTAGCAGAGCAGCCCTCCCGCTCACAGGTCTTCAAGCTGGGAGAGGCGCGAGAGGGTGCTGGGAATGGATCCGGTCAGGAGGTTGTTGTTCAAGTAGCTGCCGCGCCATTGCATGGCATGGGGAATTTGGCATGGGAATGTGGGGGGGAATGTGGGATTGGGAATGTGGTATGGGGAATGTGGCATGGGGAATGTGGCATGGGGCACACCCCATGCATGCACGCACACCCCATGCATGCACGCACACCCCATGCATGCACGCATACCCCATGCACGCACGCACACCCCATGCACGCACGCACACCCCATGCACGCTCGCGCACCCCATGCACGCACGCACACCCCATGCACGCATGATCAACTCCCTCACAGTATCGTGATGTTTCTCAAGTTGCCTATGCTTTGGGGAATGCCGCCTGTGAACCTGTTGCTGTTGAGAACCCTGCACCACATGCAAACCACCGATTTCGGACTCCAAGAGTGTTCGGCGAGATGAGAAAGGTTGCATGTGCGCCTCGGGGTGAAACGAGGCACGCTTGAGATTTTTTTTTAGCAAACTCGCTAGCTATGAATCCCATTGGGTTTCAGGTTTTGCTAGAAATCCCTTCGTGTTTAATGCGAGAAATCTCCTTCGGGGAGAAACTTTTAAAAGTTGCTGAAGTTTGCTTCTACGACTTGCAGTAGCGCTGAGCTGAGCATATCATCGGAACGGAAGGAAGGGGAATCACGGGATCATGGAGAACATGACAAGCACTAGCCGTGGGATATTGCCGACTTAGCATATGCTCACAGGACAGTGAGTTTTGTGCACTCAAATGCTCACAAGTCATTCAACTGGCCGAGGCTTCCAACGAACTCAGGGATGGCGCCACTGAATTGGTTCTGCTGCACCCAGCTGTGTCAGTGCGTGCGTGTGTGGGGTGTGTGGGGGGTGGGGGGGAGAGGGGAGGGGGGGGGGTGTGGAAGGGGGGGAGGGTGTATGGGTGCATGGTGCATAGATGCGTAAGTAGATGGTAGACAGGGTGAAACAGATGAAACAGATGGGTACGAGCTCATGGGAAAGGCTAGACGTTTCGTGTGGATGGGTGGACATAAAAGCGTCATGGAGATGAAAAGGGTACAAGACAAGACAAGGGCATGAGAAGGAAGGTTACATGTCTCATGTAAATGAGCACACCGGACAGGTGTTACAGAGATGCGCACTCGTGTGCATGCGGATGGTTACAAGGCATGGGAGAAGCAAAGCCAAGCAGAGAGAAGGAAGGAGTTTACAAGGTCAAAAGGTTGGCCGCGCTGGCTAATGAATTTGGGATGGATCCGCTCAGCTGATTGCCATAAAGGCTTCTGCAGCGCACCAGGCACAGAGAGGGCACCACACGCGCGCATTCAAGGCAGGATGTGCAGGGAAAGTTGCATATGTGCGCCTGTGTCTGTGCTCGTGTGTATAGCTGTGTGCACGTGTGCGTGTGTGCGTGCGTGTGTGTGTGCGTGTGGATGCATCAGTGTTTGTGGGGGGGGTGCGCGTGCATGTGCATGTGCATGTGAGTGTGAATGTTGGTACATGTGGAGGAGGGGATGCGTGTACTGTACGTGCATGCATGAACACGCATCCATGCTAAGCAAGGGTTGGGATGCAAAGTGCCACCACAGATACAGTATGAGCAGTGGTGGAAGGGGATGCGCAGGTGTGGAAAGAGGTGAGCAGGGGTAGAAGGGGATGAAGCGAAAGAGGAGGAATAAAGAGAGCGCACATGCTGAAGATTTTGCTGAGACCTGGTAGCCATGATGGAAAAGGCCCTGTTAGATTCATGGTGTCTAAACCTCTGAATGCATACACGCACACACATGCGTGCACACACACGCACACACATGCGTGCACACACACGCACACACACACACACATGCGCGCGCGCACACACACACACACACACACGCAGATATCCACACACGCACACACACACGCAGATATCCACACACGCATGCACACACATACATGCAATGCAGAGAAGTGGAGTGGTGGCTTTTCTCTCACACTATGCAGATCATTCCGCCTCCACAAGGCAGCAGCTCAATGCGACGAGACACGATGATTCGATGGCCAGCAAGGCACAGCGCAACGGGGAAGTTGCAAATGCGAAAGCAACTGCAGTCCGTATACAGCCTCGACGCATTCCCGAGGCGCCTAAAAAAGGCGACTCTTGAGGCGCCTAAATTGTGGGCCTAGGCATCAAGCCTCGGCGTATTGAGAGGCGATGCAACTTTAATTTGCAGTGGAGAGTTGGCTCGGCGTATTGAGGCGCCTAAAACGTCGTGTGCAATGGAGAGGCGGTGCAAAGAGAATGTGGTGCATTGGGAATGAGAAGAAAGGGTGAGGAGTGGCACACAGTGATTGAAGGTTCTTGAGGGTTGAGAGTGCCTGGGGAATAGACCCTGTGATCCGAGGGTTGTAGTTCAAACCCCTGCCCCCTCCAACCAAGTGGCAAGCGGCACGCGGCAGGAGGCAAGAGGCAAGAGGAAGAAGCAAAGGGCACGAGGAAACAGACAGGAGGCAAGAGGCAACAGTCACCACTCAACACAGCATGCCACGGCGACACAGTGCACATGTGTGTGTGACAGCGGAAACGCGAACAGAAGCACACATACAACTGCATACAACAGCTCGCACGACAAAGGAAGCACAGAGCATTGGAGAGCAATCAGAGGGACATTTAGCGAGCGAGGTATTGTGTGTGATGTGATGACACCAGTGTGATACATCAGAATGACCAAAGGAAGCAGCGCAATCAACTGAACATGTATGTTATGTCATGTCATGCCATGTCATGTCATGTCATGTCCGCACAGTGTGTGACATGTCACCATCAGCATCACCATGCGGTGTCATGTCCTGCCATGGCGGCACTCACAGTTGCTCTAAAAGTGTTAGGCGAGAGGAGCGTGGGATGGAGCCGGAGAGGTTATTCTTTGAGAGTAAGCTGAGGGGCATAGATGGTGGGTGGGGGGGAAGGAGGGGAGGTGGAGGTCACGGGAAGAGGAGTAGGAGTGGAGTGGAGTACGCAGGTGATGCAGGCTTGCGGAAGGACTGATTCTGACATGCTTATTGTGATCGAATGGTAACGCATGGCATGGCGCGGCATGGCATTTCATGTCATGGCAGGGCTTGGTATGGTATGGTATGGCATGGCATGGCATGGCATGGCATGGCATGGCATGGCATGGCATGGCATGGCATGGCATGGCATGGCATGGCACGGCGTGGCGTGGCATGGCACGGCGTGGCGTGGCATGGCATGGCATGGCATGGCATGGCATGGCATGGCATGGTGTGGCATGGCGTGGCATGATGTGGAACGGCACAGCAGCAACTGGAACAGCATGGAATAGCATACAGAGTGGTGAGGGCTGTGAGGTTGCCGATGGCATCTGGTAAGGGGCCGTCCAGAGGCTGATCTTGAATTTTCCTGGCGGTTGGTTGGCATGGCATGTGGGCATGAGTGTGTGAAGCATCAGTAAATGAAGCACTGATCATGGGGCACTGGTCATGGGGCACTGGTCATGGGGAATGTGTGACATGGGCCATACTGAGCACGGATAGTGGGGAATGGGGGACAGGGTATGGGTAACGGAACTTCATGGTGCATGCAGCAAGAACCTCATGGCAGGCGAAAAGCGAGCTCCTTTTCTCCCCCCCTTCCCCTCTTCCCCCTCTCCCCTTTCCTTCAACCCCCTCTCCCCTTTCCTTCAACCCCCTCTCCCCTTTCCTTCAACCCCCTCTCCCCTTTCCTTCAACCCCCTCTCCCCTTTCCTTCAACCCCCTCTCCCCTTTCCTTCAACCCCCTCTCCCCTTTCCTTCAACCCCCTCCCTCTCCCCTTTCCTTCAACCCCCTCTCCCCTTTCCTTCAACCCCCTCTCCCCTTTCCTTCAACCCCCTCTCCCCTTTCCTTCAACCCCCTCTCCCCTTTCCTTCAACCCCCTCTCCCCTTTCCTTCAACCCCCTCTCCCCTTTCCTTCAACCCCCTCTCCCCTTTCCTTCAACCCCCTCTCCCCTTTCCTTCAACCCCCTCTCCCCTTTCCTTCAACCCCCTCTCCCCTTTCCTTCAACCCCCTCCCTCTCCCCTTTCCTTCAACCCCCTCTCTCTCCCCTTTCCTTCAACCCCCTCTCCCCTTTCCTTCAACCCCCTCTCCCCTTTCCTTCAACCCCCTCTCCCCTTTCCTTCAACCCCCTCTCCCCTTTCCTTCAACCCCCTCTCCCCTTTCCTTCAACCCCCTCTCCCCTTTCCTTCAACCCCCTCTCCCCTTTCCTTCAACCCCCTCTCCCCTTTCCTTCAACCCCCTCTCCCCTTTCCTTCAACCCCCTCTCCCCTTTCCTTCAACCCCCTCTCCCCTTTCCTTCAACCCCCTCTCCCCTTTCCTTCAACCCCCTCTCCCCTTTCCTTCAACCCCTCTCCCCTTTCCTTCAACCCCCTCTCCCCTTTCCTTCAACCCCCTCTCCCCTTTCCTTCAACCCCCTCTCCCCTTTCCTTCAACCCCCTCTCCCCTTTCCTTCAACCCCCTCTCCCCTTTCCTTCAACCCCCTCTCCCCTTTCCTTCAACCCCCTCTCCCCTTTCCTTCAACCCCTCTCCCCTTTCCTTCAACCCCCTCTCCCCTTTCCTTCAACCCCTCTCCCCTTTCCTTCAACCCCCTCTCCCCTTTCCTTCAACCCCCTCTCCCCTTTCCTTCAACCCCCTCTCCCCTTTCCTTCAACCCCCTCTCCCCTTTCCTTCAACCCCCTCTCCCCTTTCCTTCAACCCCCTCTCCCCTTTCCTTCAACCCCCTCTCCCCTTTCCTTCAACCCCCTCTCCCCTTTCCTTCAACCCCCTCTCCCCTTTCCTTCAACCCCCTCTCCCCTTTCCTTCAACCCCCTCTCCCCTTTCCTTCAACCCCCCTCTCCCCTTTCCTTCAACCCCCTCTCCCCTTTCCTTCAACCCCCTCTCCCCTTTCCTTCAACCCCCTCTCCCCTTTCCTTCAACCCCCTCTCCCCTTTCCTTCAACCCCCTCTCCCCTTTCCTTCAACCCCCTCTCCCCTTTCCTTCAACCCCCTCTCCCCTTTCCTTCAACCCCCTCCCCTTTCTTCAACCCCCTCTCCCCTTTCCTTCAAACCCCCTCTCCCCTTTCCTTCAACCCCCTCTCCCCTTTCCTTCAACCCCCTCTCCCCTTTCCTTCAACCCCCTCTCCCCTTTCCTTCAACCCCCTCTCCCCTTTCCTTCAACCCCCTCTCCCCTTTCCTTCAACCCCCTCTCCCCTTTCCTTCAACCCCCTCTCCCCTTTCCTTCAACCCCCTCTCCCCTTTCCTTCAACCCCCTCTCCCTTTCCTTCAACCCCCTCTCCCCTTTCCTTCAACCCCCTCTCCCCTTTCCTTCAACCCCCCTCTCCCCTTTCCTTCAACCCCCTCCCTCTCCCCTTTCCTTCAACCCCCTCTCCCCTTTCCTTCAACCCCCTCTCCCCTTTCCTTCAACCCCCTCTCCCCTTTCCTTCAACCCCCTCTCCCCTTTCCTTCAACCCCCTCTCCCCTTTCCTTCAACCCCCTCTCCCCTTTCCTTCAACCCCCTCTCCCCTTTCCTTCAACCCCCTCTCCCCTTTCCTTCAACCCCCTCTCCCCTTTCCTTCAACCCCCTCTCCCCTTTCCTTCAACCCCCTCTCCCCTTTCCTTCAACCCCTCCCTCTCCCCTTTCCTTCAACCCCCTCTCTCTCCCCTTTCCTTCAACCCCTCTCCCCTTTCCTTCAACCCCCTCTCCCCTTTCCTTCAACCCCCTCTCCCCTTTCCTTCACCCCCTCTCCCCTTTCCTTCAACCCCCTCTCCCCTTTCCTTCAACCCCCTCTCCCCTTTCCTTCAACCCCCTCTCCCCTTTCCTTCAACCCCCTCTCCCCTTTCCTTCAACCCCCTCTCCCCTTTCCTTCAACCCCCTCTCCCCTTTCCTTCAACCCCCTCTCCCTTTCCTTCAACCCCCTCTCCCCTTTCCTTCAACCCCCTCTCCCCTTTCCTTCAACCCCCTCTCCCCTTTCCTTCAACCCCCTCTCCCCTTTCCTTCAACCCCCTCTCCCCTTTCCTTCAACCCCCTCTCCCCTTTCCTTCAACCCCCTCTCCCCTTTCCTTCAACCCCCTCTCCCCTTTCCTTCAACCCCCTCCCTCTCCCCTTTCCTTCAACCCCCTCTCTCTCCCCTTTCCTTCAACCCCTCTCCCCTTTCCTTCAACCCCCTCCTCCCCTTTCCTTCAACCCCCTCTCCCCTTTCCTTCAACCCCCTCTCCCTTTCCTTCAACCCCCCTCTCCCCTTTCCTTCAACCCCCTCTCCCCTTTCCTTCAACCCCTCTCCCCTTTCCTTCAACCCCCTCCCTCTCCCTTTCCTTCAACCCCCTCTCCCCTTTCCTTCAACCCCTCTCCCCTTTCCTTCAACCCCCTCTCCCCTTTCCTTCACCCCCTCTCCCCTTTCCTTCACCCCCTCTCCCCTTTCCTTCAACCCCCTCTCCCCTTTCCTTCAACCCCCTCTCCCCTTTCCTTCAACCCCCTCTCCCCTTTCCTTCAACCCCCTCTCCCCTTTCCTTCAACCCCCTCTCCCCTTTCCTTCAACCCCCTCTCCCCTTTCCTTCAACCCCCTCTCCCCTTTCCTTCAACCCCCTCTCCCCTTTCCTTCAACCCCTCTCCCCTTTCCTTCAACCCCCTCTCCCCTTTCCTTCAACCCCCTCTCCCCTTTCCTTCAACCCCCTCTCCCCTTTCCTTCAACCCCCTCTCCCCTTTCCTTCAACCCCCTCTCCCCTTTCCTTCAACCCCCTCTCCCCTTTCCTTCAACCCCCTCTCCCCTTTCCTTCAACCCCCTCTCCCCTTTCCTTCAACCCCCTCTCCCCTTTCCTTCAACCCCCTCTCCCCTTTCCTTCAACCCCCTCTGCACGCCCACCTGCCCGTGTTCTTTCTCCCCACCCACCTACACACTCCAACACCCCACTCACTCCCTCCCTCCCCTTTCCCTCCCCAAACGACCGAGTCCATACCTTCCCACCCTCCCCACCTCACCTCCCTCCTCTCTTTGCCACTCTCACGCACATGTAAGTAATCATGCCATCATTGTCGCACTCCACGCCATGCACTGCATTGCACTGCCCCCCTTTGTCCCACCCAGTCAGCCTTATCGCCCACTGCTGCTGACACACTGCCAGCACCGCCGCTGCGCAGGGGAGGGGGGTTGACAGAGGGAGGTGATTTTGAGGCGTCTCAGAAGAGTGGCACAGCCATGCGGCAGGCGGCACTAACGAGGCCCACTGGATCTAACACTCTCTGCCTACAACGCCGCTGCGGAGGGGAGCGACAACGGGGAGTTATTCTTTGTTTGAGACGCCTCAGTCTCAGAAGAGTGGCAGGCAGGCACAGCCATGCAGCAGCACTATCTATCTATCCCCCACTGGTTCTAACACTCTGCCAGCACCGCCACTGCGCAGGGGAGGGGAGCGACAAGGGGGGTTCATTCTTTTGAGGCGTCTCAGAAGACTGGCACAGCCACGCCGCAGTGCTAACGCCCACTGCTGCTGGAACTCTGCCAGTGCCGCCACTGCGGCGGGGAGAAAGGAGGGGGGGCGGGAGGAGAGGGGAGGGGGGGGAGGTGGTGGGGCCAGGAGGGCAGCAGCCAGTGTTCGGGGAGGGCGGAGGGTGAAGAATGGACAGGAGAATGAGTGCGAATGAAAGGGAATGCCTTTCGAGAAATCTCCTAAGCCAATCCAGTGTACGCAAGGGGGTGCGGGGGGGTGGGGGGAGGGAGGAGGGAGGGTGAAGAGGGAGAATGCGAGCGGGCGCAGGGAACGGGCTGGAGGTAGCATAGGCAGCGGGGAAGCGGTGGTGGGGGGGGTGGGGGTTGGGGAAGGGGAAGATGGGGCGATGTGAGCATGGAAGGGAGGAAGCGAGATGTTAATTGACTGTTTAAGTGATGTGAGGGTGTGTGATAACGAACGAAACGTTTCACTTTAGAAATTTCTCGAAAGTTATCTATAAGCGGGAGGATGCGCGCTAGACGGATATGCGTGCGAGGCGAATACGCGAGGGAGGCGAATACGCGAGCGGGGCGATTGACGCCAGGATGTCCGACCTTGCGACGGGTTGAGTCTCTGAGCGGCAGCCGTACTCGCCGTCGCGATCACGAGCATCGCGACGACAACCACGGCGACGCGATGCGACTCCGCCATTCGCATCGACGATTTCGGATTGAGCAAGAGGAACGGGCGGTGCTCTGTAGAATATGGCGTTTCAAGTTAGGTTTAGCGAGGGAACGGAAAGTTGGGACCTCAAAAAGTGGAAATGGGTTGGTACATCCGCCGAACACACCGATGAAATGGTAGGTTTATGGCCTGCGCGCCAATACTGGAACACACCTCCGCCTCCTGCGCGGAACTCGTCTCATGTACAGTATTGGCTTCCAGGTGTCCTGGACACCCCATCCGGCCTCCAGCTCAGCGTTAGGTGTGGGAAACATGTGGTTAGATGTGGGAAACAGCGTTAGGTGTGGGAAACAGCGTAATCGAGTGTGCAGCTGATTACGTGTACAACAAAAGTAGGTCTAAAACCCCGGGGTTTTAGACCTTTCGCGAATGATGTTTCGACAAGTAGTCGAGCAGATATTAGCAAACTCATGTCAGTGGAGGGCATGCCAGGAACACGTGCTGATGCTGACGTGTGTGTCCAGACTTCGGGAACCTGGACACCCCAGGACCGCGATCTAATTGTGCTACAACACCCTGATGACGAAAGTGGTTGCTTCGTGGTGACACATCGGTCACGAAAATTGCGGGGCGATGCGAACCCCCTCGGCCCGTGCAAAAAGTCGGCAGCAGGGCTCTCTTTAGCAAGGCATTTGCCCTAATTGCGGAAACTCGGCAGCAGGTTTACATCAAGGGCTGATCAAGCCCCTTAGTGCACTGATAAATAACCCCCCTCAGGGGGGGTACAAAAAAAAGAATAAAAGATAGTGTTCTCTGTGTACTATGCTGAAACAGTTTTTGCACTGCACATGATGTGATGCAGGCACTGGAGTGCATTTTTCAGTACACCAACATGTGTACTATTATGCTGGGGATTACAGTATACGTACATCTTACCCGAACCCGAAGTAATAACTTACAGTAAGAACGTGCCCCTAGATTTCAGCCTTTTTACGCTGATTCAGCCTTCATTCAGCCTTTTTTTCTGTACCAAGGCAGATTTGTCAGCCCTTTCCCCAAAAAACTTGGTGATTTTCTAGTGGGTTGGAAATACGGCCTTTTTGGCTGATTTTCAGCGTAAATTTGCGGGTGAACTCTGATTTTTCAGCCTACCCCAAAACCAATCTAGGGGCCACTGACACACCCCGAATGCCTCCTCCATACCGTTGCATATCCCAACGGTATCATTCATGAAAAGACATGAGGATCACTGTAATCCTGTGACATATTCATATCCATATCCTCCACACAGGAATCTCCACTTCACACTCCCTGCATGACAAATCTCGTAGAGGACAACATCCCATTCATTACACTCAGTCGATATCTGCGCCAGCAGCGCAAGAAACCTCGTCTCGTCTCACAAGAAGGGCCAGCGTTGACAAGTCATGTCCCTGCAGTTTTCACAAAGCAGACGCTCGCTAACCGCACCACACCATCTTCATCATTTCATGGATTGAGGTGCTGCTGCTGCTGACACATTCAAGTTTGCTGCAGCCTTATCCTCCTCCTCTGAGAACTCCATATTCAGCAGCTCCAGATCCTCGTCTATAGTCCTCTCGATCTTATCACTCACAATCTTCGCACCCACTCTTGCTGCTCCCGGGGCGCTCTTCACCCCCCCTCCCACCTCGGCCCTCACGGCTTCCAGGTCTTAGGCCACTCGCAACATGGAGGGGCGGGAGGCGGTGGGCATGGCGGAGCATTAGCCGTTGGGGGTGGAGGGAGAAGAGGGGAGCGGGAGGCGGGAAGAGTGGGGAAAGGGGGTGGGTGGGTGGAAGAGAAGTTGGGGGAGGAAGCGTGGAGTTGATTGAGAGGTGGACATATGGTGAGGGCACTAGGACAATCTTGCAAGAAAAGCAGGATCGAATGTAGGGTGCCGTGAGTTACAACTAGGGCTGGGAGGATGAGGGGGTGGGGAAACAGCAAGCTGCACAGAGAGAGCACCAATTGGATAATGGTCATGGGCTCGCGATCTTCATGCTCGTGGTGGCTTGACTCGAATTGACTCAAACAATGAGTCGCGCGGACACACAGGGAGGTGCACACACGCAGCGCAGGCTTCTTCCCACACACGCACACAGGCACACACAGGCACACACAGGCACACACACACATACACGCGTGCGAGCACAGACACAGACACGCACACACGCGCGCACAGGCACACACACGCACACACGCGCGCACAGGCACACACACGCACACACGCGCGCACAGGCACACACACGCACGCACCCATTGGATAATGGTCACGGGCTCATGGTGCTTCGGCACTGTGATGGCGGCTCCTCTCCCTGACAGCGCCACCAGCATCAGCACGCCAAAGCTGCGCCCACAGGAGATACACGAAACACAGAAAAGCAGGAACAGAGGAACACAGAAAGACAGAGACACAGAAACAGAGAGACACAGAAACACAGAAACAGAGAGACACAGAAACACAGAAACAGAGAAACACAGAAACAGAGTTATACAAAAACAGAGCGACACAAAAACACAGAATCCGCGAGACCCAGAAACACAGAGACAGAGAGTATGAATTCCCACCAGATCATCTAAAAAAAGTTTGGCCCAAAAAGCCCCCCCCAGCTTACCCACGGCTTACCCCCTGGGTGGGTACCGCGGGGTCCTTGTCTAGGTAAGCCGCGGGTGGCCTCTGCAGCTTTCACTTCGCGTGGTGACCCCGAGGTCACCCACGTGTGGTGACCCGCAGGAGACCCCTCCCATCCTGCGGGAGCGAATCAGACCTCGCCCCCAACCTGCGGGAGCGAATCAAAACCTCGCCCCCAGGCCCGCTGTAAACGCTTCGAGAAACTGTGCTGCTCAAAAAGGTCCACCATCCGGTTCGCAACTTCTTTTCCGTACAATCGAAGTGTTAACTTTTTCCGGGGGCCCTCGTGGAGGCCGACTCGGTAATAGATACAGTCTCCTATTTAACCAGGGTCTTACAGCAAGCATCAAGGTGTAGAAAATTAATACAAATTGGCCTTCGTTAGACGCACCCTCGGAACTAGGGTACCCGTTTCACTCTGCTTCGATATTCGCCGTGATTATGGCATTCATTAGAAATCTAACCAGAAGTACTTCTCAATATAAGAACAGTTTCCTGTACTGTACTGTTCTAGTAATGGAAGGCGCTGTGACTAATTCGAAATCTCTTTGTCAAATTTATCAATAAATAAATTGATTCACTAAATGTTACAATATACGTTTAATATTATATTGTACATCCGCCATGTGCGACCCGATGATTGGGCGATTTGTCACAATCGGGTTCAACATTTCGTGGCGACTACATGAAACCAGAGTCTCGAACTAACGGCACTTCTGTTTGTTCTTCCCTCAGGTGCACCAGCAAGAGTTGACAACAGGTCTACATTTGACAGACACACAAGCCGAGTATAATAGAACAAACAGAAGTAGCGTAAGCAGTAATGTACCCTGTTGGGGCCCATAAAGTCTAAGGGGCCGGCGCCGCCACTTGATCCTCAATCAGTAGGCAGTCGTACACACGGCAACGGAGGTGTTGAAAATAAAACGCCACGTCGCTGATATGCACCCATAAAAGAAAAAAAAGCAAAAGGAACCAGGCGTGTCGTGAAGGCACATGTACAGGCGGAGGAACTCAGAGCGGGCACAGAGGAATGCTGTCTCGCGGGTCGACGTGGACCTGCGGCGAGAGGAAACCACACTGAATGAGCAACTCTTGACAACAGGGTGAAATGCGCCACGTGGCAAAATGACGGCAAGAGCACACTTACCGCGGCGCTTCACGTCGATGACGCTGCCTCAGAGGCTTACGGATCAAGCCATTCTTACCGTTCAGGTGGGCCTGCACGACAATCAGAATAGTTGGTTACAAACATTCGTTAGAGCGGGACGCCAGGGTTCCATAAAACGTGTGAAGTAACAGAATCACAAACGCAGGGCCGAGCATGCAGCACACGCAGCACGTACCCTTGCGCGCTTGGTGTTG